TCTTTTTTTTTTGTTTTTTTTTTTTTCTTCTTTTTTTTTTTTTTTGTTTTTTTTTTTTTTTTTTTTTTTTTTTTTTTTTTTGAGAGACTTTGCTACAGGGCGTGCACGCCTGCTGGAGACTCAGCGACAGAAAGTGAGAACTCACCCCCGGGGGAGGCCACACTGCAATCTCTCCTCTATTCTCCCTGGGATTTTGGGCACACGCACACGCGCCTGGTGTGTCTCAAGCTGCCGGGTCCAGGTCCTGAACCACAGTCGACTACCTGAGAGTCCAGTGCCTTAACCGCGCCACCTGCTGGTCCTCTCCCAGACATTTAACGGGAAGGGCACAGCCCAGACCCCACAGCCCTGGGCGTTTTCTCCCTTTCCGTTTCAGGATCAGCCCTTGCTCAGTTGTCTCCCACCTCGGGCTCTCCTGGAGGGAAGGCAGGCAGGGTCTCCGGCAAGCTCCAGTGCCCTTGGCAGGGTGGGGAGAAAGGTCTGAAGGGTCAGACGGGGTCTGGCTGGGCCTGGTCGGGGGACACAATCCGCTGCGGAAGGAGGAAGAAAGGGGGTTGCTGATCTTCCCGCAGATGGAGGCCGACGCCCGCCCTCCCGGAGAGCAGGCGAGGGTGATGCTACGAAGGCCCTCCCCACCGCATCTCAGGGCAGCCTGGCACCCCCCACCTTCCTTAAAGTCCCCCCACCCTCAGGGCCCACAGAGCTCTCCCAGCTGCTCTCTCCTCGCCTGGAAAGGAGAATAAACCATCGCTTGCTCACTTGCCTTTTTTCTTTCTTTCCTCCTCCTTCTTTCTTTCTTTCTCTTGCTCCCTCTCTTTCTCCCTCCTTCCTCCTTTCTTCCTTTTTCTTTCTTTTTTTTCCAGGTTTTGGCCATAGGGTGCATGTGCTCACCAGAGACAGAGAGGGGAGGTGAGAGGTCTTCCCCAGGGGGACGGCCACACGGCAATCCCTTCTCTGCGGCTCTCCTCCTGGAATGCTGGGTGTACATGCACATGCACCCTGCTTTTCAAGCTGCCGGGTCCAGGTCTTGAGCTGTGCTCAGCTATGTGGGAGTCTAGGGCCCTGACCGCCATGCCACCTGCTGGCCCCGTAAGCCTTTCCTACCACTCAGTGTGAGTCTCACAGAGGGGCTCTCAGATCCCCAAGGGCATGTCAAGTTTACAGTAAATGAAGACACAGCAAAGGCGGGGGTCACATCCGAGCTGCCCTTCCTCACTGCAGCGTCCCCAGAATCTCAGACCGTGCTGGAAAGCCTGACGGACGCTCGCCCCTTCCCCGG